AAAAGCTCCAGAGACTCTGTCTGCAGTGAGCACTCTCGACCATGGAAGCGCAGCAGGAAGGCAGGGCTTCCCCCACGCTTGTATCCCTGCTCTGTGGACCAGTGCAGCACTCGGCACAGAACCGCTTTCCTCCTGTACCCAGAATGATCCTGCCCGGGCATGACAGCGGTACAGAAAGGGATGCAGTCTGACTCAAAGCAGTCAGGGGGTGAGTGCCAGATGGGAAATGGAGCATGGGACTGTTAGGCAAGGGGACTGGAAATAGCAGCTACGGTCAGACCAGAGGAGGAGTCAGGTGGGTGTCTGGGAATAACCAAGTAAGAGAGAAAAACAAGAATCTACATGGGACAAAGACTAGAAGGAAAAACAAAGAGAAGGCTAGGAATGGGATGAGACTGGTCCTGGGACAAACCCATAGCAGGGAGCTGTGAAGCAGGAGTCAGGATTAGGTAGGACACAGGTGATGTAGTTGGGGCCCAAAGGCTGATGCTGAGGGCAAGAGCAGTAAAGCCTACAGTAACCAGAGCCTTCTCCTCCCAGCACCAGGAATGGATCTAGGGCTGCTGACACCCATGGCCATCCGTGAAACCTCCTGGAAAAGAGTTTCTCTTGTCCTATTGCAGATCCCCCTCCCTTTAAGGAAGATGACCAACTACTATCAGTTCCCATCAGCTGAAGCAGCAGAAAGCTGTACAATGGAGTTCAAGTTTCTGACACTGCTAATGATCCATGCAAGGGATCATCCCGAATAATAAAACTCTTCTTTTTTTCTCAGTGGACTGAACCTTAGTTCCCAACATTTACAAAGAAAATGCTAAGGCTAAAATGTCAAGTCTGTAATAGCTAGGAAATGCCACATGTAACATGCAACTTCAGCGCTTAAGCTGGCCAGTCCAAATGAATGGGCACATGATCGGAATCTCCCTGTCTCTCAGGTCTCTGTAAAATAGGAGGAAAAACCAATGACATTCATACCGAGGAGGTGAAAATGAGGTTGTTAACAGTTGTGAAGCATTAAGATGACAAACGTTGCAGAAAAGCCATAGAAGGGAAGGATCTTGTCTCTTGCATAGTGTACAGTAATTAAGGTTTCAGACACAAACTGAAAAAGGACAGGAAAATGAGGAATATGGAAAACCCCCACATTCAGCAAGCACTACTCATTCTGGGTGTTGACTGTGTCAGGCCACCAAGGAAAATAAAAATATATGGTGGTATAAAAACTGCACAGCAACAAGCATAGTGAAGTCTTAGTCTACAGCCTGGTCACAGAGATAATGCTACTACTAAGTATGTACCAGGATACCAAGCTAAGATTACATCAGCATCCTGGCTGCTGGCATTTTTTTCCCTTTCTGAACATATGCTTTGCGGCAACAACACTGCTGTAATGCACTTTTTGGGTGTGCAATGACTCAAGCTGTCCCCAAATGACATTGGCTCCTTAATATCCAATGCACATAAAATATTCCTGCCTCAATGACAACAGAGATGAAGGCGAGGGATATGATGGCGAGTTTTGTGTCAATTTTGCTAGTTCTACCCTATGTGTGTGTCTTTATCATTTCTGCTCTTGGTGTTGCTTTGAAGAAAGGTTAGGCCACTTTACTGTATATGCCTCTTCCTGGCTAATCTATACCAGATGTATAATGTACTCCCTGCTGAATCTTGCCTAGAGACTCCTTTGGGAACTGAACTCACTGACTCTAGGGCTCATCTGACTCCTCAACTGGCCCATCACCAGCACTCCCTCTCTCTAGTCCTACCTTCAATGAGTGCATGCTACTTTTGAGCTCCTCTTTAAAAAGGAGTTCATCAAAAAGGCTGGAGCATGATCCTAATAACTGTCTTCGAAACAGTGATTGAATGCTCTGTGCAATTAAGTTCTTTCAGAACTGCTGCCTGCTATTTCCTATCCCTTTAATAATTACCTCCTTTTTCTTAGGTATCAACATGTTTTTCAAACTGCTACCTGTGTGAGGTAGCTTTCACAAAGCCCATCTGTTAATTCTCTGTTACCAAATTCCTTAAAGTATCAAAGAGGAAGGAAAGTGGACGCTTCCTAAGCATGGTAATAAAAGCAGTAGGAAGAGAATAGTATGGCTCTCAGGAAGCATGGCTTGCAAATCCAGAAGTTTAATAAAACTCCATACCTTGACTTTGACAGAGACACGTAAAAGCACCATCTCTGGCCAGTGCTGTGATAGGGCTGAAGTCAACGCAGGGCTGGGTCATCATTGCTGACAGTTACCTGGCCCCACTGTCTCTCTAACTTTCTTTTCAGGTTGAAAGTAATAGGCTGCATCTGATCTACCCCAGTAACCAGTGTTGGAGTGTTCCCTCTATTTAGGTATCCAGAGCTTTGCCAAGCCCATTATTAAGTGATGAGGTCTCCCACCATGTCCCCAGGGAGATTATCCCACAGCCTACCAGACCACATCGTTAGGAAAACGTTCCAGATAGCCAACCTAAATTGTGTTTAATTCAATCCCATTACTCCCAGCTGTACCATTTGGACCACCCTAAATATGCCCATATTCTTCCACAGAAGGAGAAGGATGAGAGCTGGTTCGAGTTACGTTTGCCTATCATTTGTGGTAGCTGTTCTCCTGCCATCCTCCTTGCATGGGACTGGAGTTCATTTTATGAAAGGAGGTCGGTGCACCGCTGGCTCAAAGAGCTCTTGTACCCCGAGCCACCTGGGCAGTGGGGCCAGGACCCATACGGCAGAGCAGGGAGCACACAGCCAGTTCTGCAGCAAAGTCAACTGTGGGATTTGCGTGGGGCTGTGTAGGATGATTCAGGGATATTTCTACCTTTGATGAATCCTGGCTGATGCTTTGGAATAAGGGACTGCTGTATTTTTATTTTTTTAATGTTTCTGGGAAGGTGTATGCAGCTTTGCTGAGGAGGTTTCTAGCATGTAACTCCCAGACTAGGGTCAACAGCCAGCTGCTACCGCTTACGTCTGCTGAAGTGTGATCAGCTTGCAACAAAAGGTGGCTCCAACCCAAGAGAACTAGCTTTTTTTTAACCTGGCCATGGAGGCTTGTGTTTGAAGAAGGAAAAGTTACCAAACAGAACAACACAGCCAAAGTCTTGATGAAAGGGGGAATATGGAAACAGACTTCCAGGGCCACACCAAAAGCTTGGCACAAGATACAGGAAGTCTTGGGCAGGGGAAAGGAAGTCATGGCATGCTTTCACAGTGAAAAAGAGAGGGCCCAGTTTACTACGGGACTAGCCAAGGTCAGAAGAGACATGCTGGGCTGGAAAGACTCCACAGTTCAGGAAATAAGTCATGAACTTTGCAGACAGATCCCAGACCACCGAGGAGAACCTGACCCCCAGCCCAAAGAAATTCCAGAATGGTTAGGAAACTGAGGCAGGGAAATGAACTGAGGCTTTATTATTTTTTCTTGCTCAGCATAATGGTGTATTCATAATCTACCTGAATGTGTCTTTGCTAACATCAATCATAGGTTTCTGAACAGTTTAACTACAGGGCCCACAGACTCATTAAGAAGTGGGTTTAAGCTTTGGAGAGGTGAGCAGTAGACTCTACAAGAATACGCAAATGAACCACAGGTTACAGCTGCGTTACTCTCCCTGCAAATACATCTACAGACCCTGAAAAATATTCAGACAAAGATGACAAGGACAATCAAGAAGAAAGAAATGTTTCCATACTAAAATCAACCAGACTAGGATCTGCACCCTGGGAGAGATTACTGAAGCAGATGCGAGCGAGGTCAAAGGGTGATATTTCTGTTTGATATAATCTACTAAAGAAATAAAACATATTCCTATTTCCTAAAATACTAGCTAAATCTACAACCCATCTCCTCATAATTCACGCTGCAGGTTAACAACCAAATGCGACCCGATTCAGCTCTCCTAGAGATTCATGCAGATGCATAGATGTGGCACTTAGGGACATGATTTAGTGGTGGACTTGGCAGTGTTAGGTTTATGGTTGGACTTGATCTTAAAGGTCTTTTCTAACCTAAATGATTCTATGATTCTGTGCTCAGGGGAGGACACAGACTTCAGTGATAGGGGGGCAATGAACCCTGCAACAGCCACCGATTCAGACCGACGTGATGGGCAAAGCCGTGAGTAGGCACAGGCTCTGGTATACAGGGACCAAGACTACAGTGCACAGAACACTCATTGGGTGTCTCCTACAGTATCCGAGACTTGCAACTGCAAGACCAGTACTTTGTTTTCACGAGTCTTTTTCACTTTTAGTTTCAATTTAAAGGCAAATTTGTGATATGCATAGCTGACAATAGGTTACGCTATACTACAGTGCTGGTTTTGGCTGGGATAGAGTTAATTTTCTTCACAGTAGCTAGTATGGGGCTGTGTTTCGGATTGGTGCTGAAAACAGTGTTGATAACACAGGGATGTTTTCGTTACTGCTGAGCAGTGCTTACGCAGAGTCAAGGCCTTTTCTGCTCCTCCCCCCACCCCACCAGCAAGTAGGTTGGGGGTGCACAAGAAGCTGGGCGGGGGACACAGCTGGGACACATGGCCTCAACTGACAAAAGGGATATTCCATACCATATGACGTCATGCTCAGCATATAAAGCTGGGGGAAGAAGAAGGAAGGGGGGGATGTTCGGAGTGATGGCATTTGTCTTCCCAAGTAACCGTTACACGTGATGGCGTGCTGCTTTCCTAGAGATGGCTGAACACCTGCCTGCTGATGGGAAGGAGTGAATGAATTCCTTGGTTTGCTTTGCTTGCATGTGTGGCTTTTGCTTTACCTATTAAACTGTCTTTATCTCAACCCAGGAGTTTTCTCACTTTTACTCTTCTGATTCTCTTCCCCATCCCACCAGGGGGGAGTGAGCGAGCAGCTGTGTGGTGCTTAGTTGCCAGCTGGGGTTAAACCACGACAACTACATTAAGTGCAAACACTGCTTTGTGTCAGGACATTTACAATTGGGAATCCACCCATAAAGACAAAGCGAGCAAACAAATCCTGATCTGACTAAATAACTTCACATGGAGCCTGCAAAGGAACTCACTTTTGTCCTCAGTCCACACCCTAGAGCAGGGATCTGCCAAACCCCAACTATAAATATTCATTAAAAAGCCCTCTGCTTGGGATGCAGTCACTGAGACAGCCATTTCCTGCCCATTATCTCTTAGGGCAGGAAATCAATAGTTCCACTCAGGCGATGACCACCGAGCCCTTGCACGCACACTTCCACTGGATGGCTTAACTTTGCCCCAATGAGGGTCACGTAGTTGGAACCTCTCTGAAGCCCCAAAATAGCATTTCATAGCAGTAAAGCAGATCTGAACGTAGCTGCCCTTGTATTTAGTACTGAGCACAGCAGCTCCTAGTACGATATTCTATATCTCCATCTCCGTATTCTTTTGCTTGGAGCAAGGTGAATGGGAGCACGCTGGCACTGTGGGTTGGTAGCATCTACAAAGAGAAGGATGTCTGTGTGATCAATAATTTGACTGCATTGCCCCTGACCCTGAGAAAGATTACTAGCCAAAATAACGGCTCCTTCTGCTGAGGACAACTTCAGGCTGATCTAATTGTGGTCTCTGGGAAAAGACTGTCTCAGCACCCAATCTTGTTCTTTATAACAACAACAACAGAGCTTTTCTGCCAACTTCAGCGGAGCAAGTCCCTGAACTATTCTTATGCCAAGAAGCTGTACTTTCCATGAAAAACAAATCCTAATATTATAGGACACCACACTGTAGAACTGCCACTGTTTACTGGCACTTCATGAAGAAGCAGGAGTAAAATATCGCGGAAGAAATTCTGAAAATTATTACAAATGCACTGTAAATACAGCTCGTCTACTTACCTTTGGTTTCCAGCCTCTGATCACTTCCAATCAAACAGTCTTTGATGTCTGCACCCTTCTCTATCACGGCATTATGACAAATAACACTGCCCTGAAGACAGCACCTACAACATAAACACAAAGTAAAGAAGAAAATAATTTAAAATGACAGGTACAAAACAAAGGCACCCACCGGAATATCTAATGAGCCTGTGACATGATCCTGTAAGTAGGTTCAGTTCCGCTCTTTTCTCAAAAACTCCACTATTCTTCTCCTGATCCTCACACCCAGTTGCTGGAAAAACTGAAATGCCAGCTGTCAGGATGGGTTTGCAAAAAAGGGTTTCCAGTTTTACCTCCTGTTAGAACAGCCTTCCTCTACATTTCCTTAACAGAATAAATACTGCCAGAGGATTTCATAGACAGGACACTGGCCTGGCACTTGGGACCTGGATCAAGTCTCGTATTTTCCACAGACAGCCGGGGTAACTGCGAGGGTGGCTTCTCTGCTCAGCTCCCCAGTTAAAAAGAGGAGCAGCAGCCCAGTCCTTCCCTGCGAATTTTGCTGAGAAGTTTCATACGTTCCAGCTCGCCAGGCACTAAGAAAGGGTGGCGAGAAGGGGCAGATCAATACCTCAGCTGGCTGGCTTTGTTCATGTTGCAGTACTAAACCAATGAAACCCACATTGGACCTGCTCTACCTGCCTTGGATATCTTCACCCTCATGTAGCCTTTGACACCACAAAGTCTGAAACGCTACACAGGATGGAACTTTAGCAAAAGTCACCTTCTTCTAAAATTTATTTGAATCTGTGATAACCAGCTTTCAAGTCTGCTGATCTGATTGTCCAGATAGGAAAGAAGTTCAGAGTCCAAGTGCTGGCTTCGTAAATCCTCTGCTGAGAGATTCTGAGTGAGTTACTGCATTGGTCTGAGCCCCTCCATGCAGTAAAATGGAAGCTGTGAATATTTACTAGTATCCGTGATGTGTCCTGAAATGCTGTTTACTCAGCATCATGAGGAGTGTTAAATGGTATTAAATGTAATTTCTTTCAAAGCTACAGAGAAAAAAATAGCTACGATGCAAATGATTTGTTTCCTTACTTTCACATGTGCAAAGATAGGTAGAAGTCATGGAAGGACAGAAAATTTGAAGGCACCCAGCTAAGAAGTGTCTAAAAATACTACGTCTAACACACATCAAAACCAGCTGATTGGGAGGAAGGTATAAGCAAGATATATAACCCCAGAGAGACGCAAGTAATCTGCTCCGCCAGATAAATCCTACTGTGAACCACGGCATTTCGTATCTTCTCCCCAGTATTTCTGCTAATATTAATTACAACAATTGTGGATATTCTTGCTATCCTCAGTCAAACAGCTGATCTCTCTCTGAAGTTTTTGGCTTCAGTAACTTTCTGCATGGCGAGTTCCACAGTTTAATGGCCTGCAGCCATTCCCCACCTTAGTCACAGGCGTCACCAGTATTCATTGCACTAGTGAAACACAGCTGCACCGCACCATCAGGCTGGCTCGTGGACAGAATTGTTACCCTGGAGTCTGAACTAACAGCATAGAGGGGTTTCGGTATCAGGTCAAAGCCCTGAGCCTCAATTCTATATTGAATGGAGAGCTAGCCGGCTGTGGTCCTCAGGAGAACAGAGAAGTATCAATCCTCACTCCAGACTGCTGATCCTAAAATTAATTCCTAGTATTTTACTGCTTACACATCACTATTATCTAGTATACAGAATTTGCCATTAAACATATTACAGTTCTGTTGCTTGTGTGAGTCGGAACAGAAACCATCTGCCCCACAAAACTGGCATTAATTCTGCAGGAGTAAAAGCAATAAAACCGGACCTCAGCCGCAGTGGCTAGCAGTTACGACCCCCTTGAACAGACTGTCCCCTCTGAACAATTATTCTTTTAACTCGCTTAAACTCCCCCTCCTCTGACCTATAAGGAGGCAATATGAGCAATTATGCTACAAGTAACCAGCTCAGGTTGCCTTGGCAAGATTTTTACTAACATGTTAATAAGATAAAAAGCGGCAAAGATACACAGCAGACCCCTGCCTGCCTTTGCTCTCACACTGTCACGATCCGCTTCCTTTGCAATAGCTTCATGTGCCTGCGCAGCGGCTCAGGCCATCATCTTGCGCAACAGCGGTCGCTGAGAGCGAGCATGACTCTGCTTTTGCAGCCAGACTAGGGAATGAATCGGTGGAGGGCAGACTGCCCACTACTGCCATCCTGACTTGGCTTTCAACAGGACTAGTGAAGGCGATGGGAGAGGTTGCTCATTTCCCACTGAAATGGCTCCTATCCAAAATGCATGCTCCAAAATACCTCCTCCTTCATCGCTTCGAGCCAGTCAGATGAGAGCTTTCCCCTGCAAACTTTTAGGTTCCCACCATCTATCACTTCTTCTGAGCACGAGAGCAGCCGTGAGTACGGTACACCTCTCAGCATTATCCTCACGGAGGAGGATATTCCCCAATGGAGAGGGGATTTAAGCTGTTGGTCTGGAGTTCAGGCTGGAGAATGTGTGTGTGTGTGTGTGTTCAGAGCTTACTTGCGGATAGTCTTTCAACTCCCGGAGAAAGAATAGCATTGTAACCAAGAAACTGCTGATGACATTAACATCAAAGATAAGGGGGGTTCCTGCCAAACCATTTTTTGGGAGGGACAGGCCAGAGAACCAAGATGAACTTGTCTGTGCCAGGTGCTCGCACACCAACCCTTCCCTGGTGCCAGGGTAAAACAAAACCCAAGAACTCCGCCACCCCAGGAGTTTCTTAAAACTTATAAACCCAACCAACTGCAGAAGTTTTAAAACCATACTCAACGCTCAGATTACGCCAATCACACAAACCAGCAGCAAATCCGGCTTTTATTGCTCAAGTGGAACAAAACTTCAAGAGATAAAAACACAATTTGTGGGTGTTCCCTTCACCCGCTGACAGATGTAACACAGCCATTTTGAAACCACTTGTAAATGCCTTTTTTAAAAAAAAAAAGTATGTTATAAAGCCTGCCAAGAGAAGTATTTTGTGTGTTTATTTAATTTTTACTATTTTTTTAATTTGAAGAGTAAGGAATAAACTTTTATTCTCTTACAGGGTAAATATCACATCTCAGGGCAGTCGGCTGTATTCTTCTTGGCTAAAAGCCACCACGGTTCCTGCCTTGCTTAACAATTAGGTGCTATTAGTCCTCAAAGGTGCTCCGACAGCATCCAGCTTCATCGACACTGTTGTGTGTATGCATACGCGTACATTTGATGTACTGCTTTATAATGCAAACCATATTTTTTTTCCCCCGAAAATGTAGTATATTTTTAAACTTTTCAGCACGGTGAAAACGGATATCTTCTGACCTTAAAATCCAAAGAGCATGTTCAAACCCACAAGAGGAACTAATTTGGGGCATTTGATTTATGGCTGAAATTTCAATTTGAATTTGTTTTAAGTGTAATCACAAACTGAAAGTCTGGCAGCTGGGTGTTTTTCAGAAAATAAATAAAAATATTCCGTGTGCGTCTGCATTCTAGAGAGAGCATTTTACAAGCCCAGTCCTGTAGTGGGAACAGATGTAGCTAAGACATTAATTTGTTATACAGGTACAACGTGCGAATGGAAGCATCTGAAAGAGAGTGTGCATGTACGTCTGTGTCTGTGCACGCGTGCATGCGTGTATGTTATGCGCCTGTATCTGAGAGACAGAGAGGCTGACTTTGGGGTGGGTTTTTTTGGAAAGTGAGAGAACAAGAGCAAAAGGAATAGTGGCCAAGGAGGCATGGGGGGATTACAAGGATTTAGGTCTTTAAAGTGCAGACCACCTAACAAGATCACTGTGAAATGCCACTAATTTCAGTTAAGGCCACAGACCTCCCTTCCTCTGCCCTCCCTCTCTCTCCCATTGTAAACAACTAATCCCAGCAGAAAACAACAGAGAGCAAAATGTACACACATTCTGCAACATTCCAGGTCCTTCTTTATCTTTTATTTATTTTTCTAAAAGGTCAGCGTATGTATGGAGGGAGGGGGGAGGGGAAGAAAGCCAAAAAACCTCAAGTCCATCTCTTGTGTGGGCTTGAAGGAAGCTGGGAGAAAGCAAAGTCCAAGAGCATACAATATGGAGCTTTTATAGCACAGCAATTCCTGGACTCGGCTTACTTTCCCCTCCCTCTATTTGTGGCAAAGTCACATAGCTTTAAACCAAAGGACAGGGTGGTCGATTACATCTGAAAGAAATGTAAAGAATCGAGAAAGAATTCCATCTCCTGTCGAAATTATAAATAAGGAAGTATTAGTCCCAGAGACAGACTGATTTACGCAGCCCTGGAACTGCTGACTTTCAGCCTGAGTATCAGTCTATAAATCAAACTCTTAAATCAAGTGTGTCAATCGCTGCAGCGCTGCGATACTTAGGAAAAGCAAGGTACCTACCACTGAAAGCAGGAAGATTGCCAGGGGACTGAGGTGCCGTACCCTTCTTAATTTTCTGAAGTGTAAATCTGAGATCAAACATCCTTTGGGGGAATGGGAAATCAAAATACGCAGCGCTCAGCACACCGGGAGCAGGCTGCAGGAGTCCAAGACACAACCCCCTAATTACAGGCTACCCACTGATTATTTAGGACTCTGTGATTAAAGTGATGAACGTTCCTGGGAGAAAGGGGCTTAAGTAACTGAGGTCAAGACCTCAACTGCAGCTCTTGCCCTAGTTGTGCAAGCTTAGGAAGGTATGAATGTCACAGGTTTGCCTTACAGCAAATCTCCTGAAATGCCAATGGAAGTTATCCAGGTCTGCTAGTTTAATCCAATTGTGCCAAAAACCCGACATAATCTCTGTTGGGCAGCAAAGCAAATGAGGTGTCTAAAATGCAACACTTAAAACTATACACTCACGAGGAAGAAAGAGCCTGGAGCACAAAGCTTAGGACAGCCTGTTGGTAATTCTCTGCCATGCCAAGAAGTCAGGTCTCTTGCTCCTCCAGATGAGCTACGAAATGGAGAGACTGATTCTGGAGTTAAAAGCAAAGGGTGACATGCCTCGGCAGCTACTTTGCTGACTGAGGGGTAACAGCTGTGGATTCCCCTGGGAGCAACATCCCATTC